TTCTAGGTTGCTTCTCTCCTTGCTAAGTTTCCATCCATTGCTTCTTGTTCTGTCTTTAGCTGCTTTGGAGAATAGGTTGGCCCCGTCTTTTTTGTGGCAGCCCCTGAGATATTGAAACACTGCTCTCATGTCATCCCTAGTCCTTCTTTTCATTAAACTCGACATACCCAATTCCTGCAACTGTTCTTCATATGTTTCAGTCTCCAGGCCCTTCATCGTCTTAGCTGCTCTTCTCTGCACTCTTTCCAAAGTCTCAACATCTTCTTTATAAGGTGGTGACCAAATCTGAATTTCCAACTTGTCTATGCAATATTTGTCTACAGGTAGTCCTCAACCTATGACCACAACCAGGGGTAAAATCCAGCAGGTTCTGACAGGTTCTGGAGAACCGGTAGCGGAAATTTTGAGTAGTTCAGAGAACCGGCAAATGCCACCTCCGGCTGACCCCAGAGTGGGGTGGGAATGGAGATTTTGCAATATCCTTTCCCCAGGAGTGGGGAGGGAATGGGGATTTTGCAGTATCCTTCCCCTGCCACGCCCACAGAACTGGTAGGAAAATTTTTTGAATTTCATGCCTGATCACAACTGAGCACAAAATTCTAGCTGCTAAGGAAGGCAACTGTTAACTGAGCTTTGCCCCATTGTATGATTTTTTTTGGCACAATTGGTAAGCGAATCTGCAGTTGTTAAGTTAGTCACATGGTTGTTAAGTGAATCTGGCTTCCCCATTGATTTTATTTTTTGGAAGTTTGCAAAAGGGGACACTGGCCCTGGGACACTGCAACTGTCATAAAGATGAGCCAGTTGCATCCGAATTTTGATCATGTGACCATTGGGATGGCTGCAATGGTTGTAAATGTGAAAAGTGGTCATATGTCATCTGTGTTTCAAATGGCCACTAAACGAATGGTTGTAAGTCAAGCACTAGCTGTTTTGTTCCTACCACAAAAACTGTATGCTGAACACAATCAAGTCATATAATTAGTCATTTATCACTACAGAAAAGATCTGTCTTCTAACCTTTCACTTCCCAGAGGGATGGGATCTGGAACTCTTAATAAGGCGATTCCAGAGGTGGATTTCAGCAGGTTCTGACCAGTTCTGGAGAACCGGTAGCAGAAATTTTGAGTAGTTCGGACAACTGGTAGTAAAAATTCTGACTGGCCCCGCCCCCATCTATTCTCTGCCTCCCAAGTCCCAGCTGATCAGGAGGAAATGGGGATTTTGCAGTATCCTTCCCCTGCCACGCCCACCAAGCCACGCCCACCAACTCATGCCACACACACCAAGCCACACCCACAGAACCGGTAGTAAAAAAATTTGAAACCCACCACTGGGCAATTCCTTATATATCCAGCAACCCTGCTGTATAGGTAATAACCAGCGTAGTCAGTCTGGTTTTATAGGTACAGTAGTGGCCAAAATTGTGGAAACCTTTTGGGAAAAGTGTATTTTCTAAAACTAGCTAATAACACCACTTTATTTTTGGAGTAGTACCATAAAAAATTATATATCAATGGAAAGATTGCATTACAAGAATGTAATGCAATCACTTTTATGAAGGATTTGCTATTAGAATAACAGTTACAGTATAAAGAAGAAAAGTGAAACACGTAGAAAAAACGAGATATACAAAAATAATCGCCATAGAAAAAATGAGATATACAAAAAGGATCACCATGTCAATTAATACTTAGTTGGGTAACCTTTAGCATGAATTACAGCCTTACAATGTCTTCCCATGGGGTGAACCAAGTCTTTTAGTTCTGCTGCTGTTATCGTGTGAAACCGAGATTGAATGATGGCTTCTATTAACTGGGTTTTATTGCTGGGTCACTTCGGACTAGCAAGTTTCTTTAGTTTGCTCCATAGATTTTCAATTGGGTGAAGGTCTGGGCTATTCCCAGGCCATTCCAGCAGTATAATAGGATTATCTTGAAACTCCAAAGAAAAAGTGGTGTTATTAGCCATGTAACCTCAAAACTACACTTTTCCCAAAAGGTTTCCACATTTTTGGCCACTACTGTAGCTTCAAAGAAATTTTTTAACCTTTTCTAACTCCAGTGCATGAAAGGACCTAGTATGATCTTGATGGAAAGTTGTTTGGATTGGTATTTCAGGTTGCAAAACTCTCATCACCAGTAAAAAAAAAAGTCTACTGAACTACCACCCTGCTCTCCTGAATGTCAAGAGCAGAGTCCCAAACTCAGTTGATATCTAAGCAGAATGCTACTCAGCTAAGAAGTGGAAATTATTCTTTGCAAGGATAATAATTAGGCCATCCTGATGAATAACAATCCCTGAGCCTTGAGTAGGATTCTGAAAAGTTCGGCTAAAAAGGCTTCAGCTTGAATTGCTCATTTCTGGAACGGTCTTCCATTTGGCAGGAGTAGCCCAACAGGCATTATTTTGTGGCTGGATGTTGGGTTTTAATTTTTGTTAATCCGGTACAATTCAACATTGTTGGCAGCTGGAGATTCTCAGAGTAAGAAAGCGATGAACAAAACCATGCAGTTATGAATTAGCAATGGAGGGAAACCAAAGACCAGAATTTCATAACTCTGGGACTCAGAGGGGAGATATGGGGGAAAGGAGTGCAGAAGAAATAAGACATTCTGGAATTGGCCTTCCCTTCCCAATTATTAACAGCTGTCGGTAATGGCCACCATTCTTGAATTCTGATATTTAGTCCTCCCCGTGTCATTTCACATCTTTGGGAGGCTTCGCGAAGCTCTGTCTGCCAAGGGGAACTTGACATTTTGTCCCAAGCAAACTCATTCCAAACTCTAAATATTCCTCTTAAACATTTATCCCTTTGGCATTGTAGAACTGATGATGGCTTTGTAACAGAGCAATAAAGAGACTTGGAGAGTGATCTTAATGGGAACGTTCTGCTTTTCAAGAGTCTGCTGTGGCTGGAGTGAACAGCCTTGCAACCGGGGAAATAATCCTACCATTTTAAAATTAAAAACTACCCAACTGTATTTAAGATTTGGTAGATGGGTGGGTGGATGGGAGGAAACAGAGATTGTATTTACAAGTAGTCCTTGATTTACCACCACAATTGAACCCAACATTTCTGTTGCTAAGTGAGACATTTGTTAAGTGAGTTTTGCCCCATTTTACAACCTGTCTTGCCACAGTTGTTAAATGGATCAATGCAGTTGTTAAATTAGTCACATGGCTGTTAAGTGAATCTGGCTTCCCCATTCACCTTTAGACAGGTAGTTCTCTACTTATGACCACAACTGAACCCAAAATTTCAGTTGCTAAGCAAGAGAGTTGTTAATTGAATTTTACCCCAGTTTAAGACCTTTCTTGCCACCATTGTTAAGTGAATCACTGCGGTTGTTAAGTTAGTAACACAGTTGTTAAGTGAATCTGGCTTCCCCATTGATTTTGCTTGTCAGAAGGTTGCAAAGGAGGATGCCATTAGCCCAGGACACTAGCAACCATCATAAATATGACTCAGTGGTCAAGCATCTCAATTTTGATCACCTGACCATGGGGATGTGGCAATGGTTGTAAGTGTGAAAAACGGTCATAAGTTACTTTTCCCAGTGCTGTTGTAACTTTGAACGGTCACTAAATGTACTGTTGTAAGTCAAGGATTACATGTAATTTCTAAGATGTGTGGGATGGCCCAAATCAGGGGTGAAATCCAACAGGTTCTGGGGATTTTGCAGTATCCTTCCCCCAGGGGTGGGGAGGGAAATGGGGAGTTTGCAATATCCTTCCCCTGGAGTGGGGTGGGAATCAGGTGGGTTTCAGCAGGTTCTGGCCAGTTCTGGAGAACCGGTAGTGGAAATTTTGAGTAGTTCGGAGAACCGGTAGTAAAAATTCTGACTGGCCCCGCCCCCATCTATTCTCTGCTTCCCGAGTCCCAGCTGATCAGAAGGAAATGGGGATTTTGCAGTAACCTTCCCCTGGAGTGGGATGGGAATGGAGATTTTGCAGTATCCTTCCCCTGCCACGCCCACCAAGCCATGCCCACAGAACCAGTAGTAAAAAAAATATTGGATTTCACCACTGGCCCAAATGTCTTCTTTCTTTCTTTTATTTTATTTAAAAAGCCTGGTTTGCTTATAGCGAGATCAAGGCTTTTAAAAGGGTAGAAATTTTCCAGCACTTTCTAGATTCTAGAATCTAGAATAACCATGTGCTGCTGCATGGTTCCTAGAAGTGCCCCTGGCACTTTTGCAACTTTATTTCTGTTTTTCAACTTTTCTTGGCCTTCTGGTGCTTCGTACGACCCTCAGCCTCTATAAAAGGAATCTAATCTTTCCTTCTCCATCTCATTCTAATTATTGGAAACTAACAAGCAAATGTTGCATAACCATATCATTTTATTATCTATTAATATATATGCCTTGAGATTAGATGCTCTTTTTTTAAAAAAAAAAAATCTGCTTTGTTTTGTCGTGCCTGAGTCCACATTGTTTCAGGGGACGTATATTGTTGATTGCTGCACTCCAGTTATATTAACATCAGTGAGTTATTTAAAGCAGCATGCATTGTGTACTTTCTCCTAGATCCCCACTATTAATCGCTTTTAAATAAAACAGCTCCCTATCTCTCTCTCGTTGTAAAATAAGATTGCTCCTAATTTTGTTAAATCCATCTGCACAGGGGTTCGTTGACAAAGAGAGTGATAATGAATACAGTGAGGAATGAATTTTCTCAAATAAACAGCTCTGGAGGGTTTGACTTCCATTACTGCTTTCTAAAATGGAGGCATCAAAGGAACAGAGAATAGAAAGAGAAGAATCCAGAACTGATTTGGCTCTCTGACGCTGTTTGTAGTAGGGAGTTTCTATGATGATTTAGGCCAGTGTTTCTCAACCTTGGTAGCTTGAAGATGGGTGGACTTCAACTCCCAGAATCCCCCAGCCAGCACTGCTGGCTGAGGGATTCTGGGAGTTGAAGTTCACCCATCTTCAAGCTTTCAAGTTTGAGAAACACTGATTTAGGCTTTTCTTCTTCTTCTTCTTTGACTCCAGCCAGCGGTGCTCCTTGAGTGGCGATGATTTGAACAGGCAATGGTTGAACCCCAGCCCTGTGTACCACCCCACCATTTACCACAGCAAAGGTCTCCTTTATTACCTCAAGAGCCAAGGCCGAGTTCCAGTGGTGAGTCATTATTTATTTATTTATTTTTATTTATTTGGGGCATTTATACTGAGTTGCACATGGCAGAATATAAAACCCCGTATCAAAATGATAAAACTAATAAAAGAAGTCATCTAATAAATGAATATTCTAATTGGCAAGAGATGGTCCCTCAGATTATCATTTTTTACTTTTGTTTTTGAGACAATCAAAATGGCGGCTCATGCAGTGAAAGCTCCACTCTGTTGCTTATACATGTTAAAAAAGGTGGAGTTTCAGTCAGGATTTGGGGCTGCCTCGGTTTTCTTGTCTCCTTCCCTGAAGACACCTCTATTTTCCTTGTTTTGAGCTTTCCTCCCTGTTAAGTGCTGAATGCCCATTTAGCTTTATATTATTATGGGTTTTGCTTAGCTTTAGTTTTGAGTGTGTGATATGCAATCTTGACAGTGGATAAACCACGTTTTGTTTTAAAGCGGTAAATAATAATTTGAAACCATGGCTTTGAGGATAACTAACTGCAGCTGTGGCTTATTTCTGATATGCTAATTAAGACATGGAATTTTGCAATTTCCTGGCTTATTCTTGGTTTGTTTGTTTGTTTGTTTTATTCCTCCCTAAACCTCTGCCAACCTGCCAAGGAAGAGCAGATAAAAGAGCTGGAAAACAAGGCAGGGATTGGCCAAACATATTATTATTATTATTATTGTCTGCAAGAATAGCTTTGATTTGTTTCAGAGTTTTTCAAGCAACTGTGGTTAGTGTAAGTAACCATGACTATAATTCTAGCCTACTGTAAAATACATCCTGTTTGTTAATACGTTCACTTCTTTACAAGCAATTTATGTAATGTAATATATTTAATGTGCTCTTTTGTGATTTTTTTTGATACTTTGTATCCATGGCTTTTTTTTTTTAAAGTTCTGGACTACATTACAACACTGAGGAAATATCTTATTTCAGCTTATAACTGCAATCAAGTTCTTTGGGTCTTGTTTTCTTAGAAATGCTTATTAGGGTGTTGCAAAATTATTCCAACCTCTTGGAGAGGATAATAATTTTTCAGAGAGAAAAAAAAAATGTTTGCTGAACATCAGGCTCCATTTACCGAGGAAAATACTATAAACTGCTAGCCCAGAATGCCCACGAATAAGCGCAATCTTGAAAGCTGTATTCAGGGGAACTGAAAAGTAGCAAATGCTCAACAAACATCCATACCAAATGAAGTCTTTGCTACCTAGAATCCAGAATGACCTAGAGATTTGTGTATTTTTCTCCCCATGGGTCTGTACTAGCTATCAGCAAATTTTGCTTTAGACTTGCTTATTGATCCTTCTGTTTCACTCTTTCTCAGCCTTCAGAACTTGACAAGCTATAGGAGAACTGGATTTTCCTTGTCTTTGAAGTCTTCATTGACTTTATTTAATACATGTTCAACCTCTTTCTCCCACTCTGCTTTCTCCTTGCTTTGGAAGTACGCTTCCCCCCCCCCCGATTTTCCAAGTAAAATTCACCAATATAAATATTGTAGTGAGGTACAGAAATGAAGTTATGAAATCCTTTCAATATGCAGAGGAGGAGGAACCAAAAACAAGCTGTACCATTTTTTTTTAAAAAAAATGGTTAAATTAAACTATGACTTAGATTAGAATGTGGGTAAAATTCCTTGATTTATTTGGACTCTGATTGGGTGAGTCTACCAACGTGATAGAAGCATAATATTGTGTTGTTAGCTGAAGTTTGAATCTGTAACTCCTGAAAAAGCGGGCAGGTTGTCAGTTTTGCTAACCCAATTGCCTGTTTATTAGATCCATGTTGTTATTGTTGTTAGTTGTAAAGTCATGTCCAACCCATCGCGACCCCATGGGCAACGTTCCTCCAGGCCTTCCTTGTCCTCTACCATCCTGTGGAGTCCATTTAAGCTCATGCCGACTGCTTCAGTGACTCCATCCAGCCACCTCATTCTCTGTCATCCCCTTCTTCTTTTGCCCTTAATCTTTCTCAGCATTAGGCTCTTCTCCAGTGAGTCCTTCCTTCTCATTAGGAGGCCAAAGGATTTGAGTTTCATCTTCAGGATCTGGCCTTCTAAAGAGCAGTCAGGGTTGATCTCCTCTAGGACTGACCGGTTTGATCGCCTTGCAGTTCAAGGGACTCACAGGAGTCTTCTCTAGCACCAGAGTTCAAAGGCCTCAATTAGATCCATATAATCAATAAATGAATAAGATGAACTTTTTAACTGCTATCATTATTAGATCCATGAAAGATAGGCTTTCTCTGTAGTATAACAGATAGAAAAAAATGTGCCCAATTCAAGGTGGAGGTTTATTAAAGCTGTGCCTCAATTCTGACTATGCTTGAGTAACAATTGTTATAAACTGATTTGGAAGATTCTTGAGGTTTTAGTTGGCACACATGGCACTCATAAGAGAATAGTCTGCCAGTCATATTGAAGTAAAAGTTTTCTTGTCAGTCATGTCTGACTCTAGGGCACTGTGCTCATCTCCACTTCTTGGCTGAGGGAGCCAGCGCTATTTGAAGAAAATACCCATGGTCATGTGGCCAGCATGGCTATACGCGAAACAGAACACACTGACCTTCCCACTGAAGTGGTACCTATTAATCTATTTGCATTTGCATCAGTGATGAAATCCAAATTTTTTTTACTACCAGTTCTGTGGGTGTGGCTTGGTGGGCGTGGCAGGGGAAGGATACGGCAAAATCCCCATTCCCTCCCCACTCCTGGGGGAAGGATATTGCAAAATCTCCATTCCTACCCCACTCTGGGGCCAGCCAGAGGTGGTATTTGCTGGTTCTCCCAACTGCTCAAAATTTCCGCTACCGGTTCTCCATAACCTGCTGGATTTCACCCCTGATTTGCATGCTTTTGATCTGCTAGTTGAGCAGGAGCTGGGCAAGTAAGGGGAGCTCACCCTTTTGCATGGAGATAGGCTTGAACCCAGTCTATCTGCTCTCCATCTGACAAGTTCATCATTTTTAAGCACTGACCCATCACAGTTTTTCAAATAGTGACATTTGAATTGTTCAAATTTGGGAAGTATATACACATGTATGTGTTGGAACCTCTTTTGATGTAGTCTTTTGGGTGTGAGATCCTCTTCCCTGTGATGTGATTATCTAGAATTCACAATAATAATGTGACATTGTATGTGAATACTGTCTTAAGATGATGTGTCCAACCACAGTATAAGTTATCAGGTAAGCGATATTCAACCTCTCAGTTTCACAGTGGGAAAACACCGAATCAATTCTATTTTTCTATTAAAAATTATTTAGATGCAGATCACACACCACGTCACATTGGATATTTGGGAAGTGATTTGTGCATCACTGTGGTTTTACTAAATAGTTAATTATTCTCTACTGCACTAATCATTCAGTCAAATACTGCTGGTACTGGAGATGCCCAAATCTCTCTGTTTTAGTTTTCTTCTCTTTATTTTTGCAGATATAGGATTAGTGGATTGGTGATTTTTTTTAAGACACAGAATGTGTATTGCATGTTTGTTTATATTCATTTTCCCAAATATAAATTTTCTCTGAACTTTTGCATAATATTCAGCTTTTTTGCAAAGAATTTTGTCAAATATAAAGAATTATATCTATTTAGTGATAGATAGGAGGCAAATATTTAAATGAGGACATGCCATTTGTATGAGAGTGTGTGTGTGTGCATATACATAATCAGACCTTCATTTAGATAGATAGATAGATAGATAGATAGATAGATAGATAGATAGATAGATGGATGGATGGATGGATGGATGGATGGATGGATGGATGGATGGATGGATGGATGGATGGATAGATAGATAGATAGATATGTGGATGGATGGATAGATGGATGGATAGACAGACAGTGAGAGATAGATGGATGGATGGATGGATGGATGGATGGATAGATAGACAGACAGACAGACAGACAGACAGACAGACAGACAGATAGATAGATAGATAGATAGATGATAGATAGACAGACAGACAGATGAGAGATAGATAGATAGATAGATAGATAGATAGATAGATAGATAGATAGATAGATAGATAGAGCAAGCATTTTTGTTCAGTATTATTATTGCTATGGTTCATTGCACGATCAGCCTGATGTTTAGACTGGCTTTGGCATTTTTATCGACCTTTTGAGTTGTTTCCAAGGGCCTGGGACAGAAAGATATTTGATGGTATTAAATATATTGTCACAAGATGTTAGCTTTTGCAAGTAAAACTGCCTTTTGCAATTGACAGATGGTGATTTTTGTCAATGCCAATGGTGCGCAAGTGATGCTCCAGATGTTTTGGGATTGCACCCAAGGCACCTGTTATCATTGGCATTAACTTTGTTTTCTTTTGCCACAGTCACACGACTTCTATTACAGATCTTTGCATTTTGTGATGTTCTCTAGTTCTTCTCTTCCGTTGTGCTGTCTCCAAGTGCTGCAATGTCCATTCTCCAGACTTTTTGTCTTTCTTATCCACAGTTATTAAGTCTGGGGTGTTATGTGGCAGGTGCTTTTTAGCTTCTTCCTTTTCTAATACTTCATCTAATTTGTGGTCCTGCCTGTTCTTGCTTGTATGCAAATGGTATTTCTTGCACATCTTCTAATGCACCATTGTTGCCACTTTGTCATGCCATTGTTTGCAGTCAGTCTGTGCGATCTTGCAGCAGCTAATTAGGTGACTCACCGTATCTTCAGTTTCTTTGCACAGGCATTATTTACTGTCTGTTGCTGTTTCTCACTTTCTGGCTTTGTATTCATTTGTTCTTAACTCTTGGTTTTGTTCAACGAGAATTACTCCCTCAGATTCTTTCTTCAAATTTTCTGCTCTCAGCCATCACTATGTCTCATTATCTGCTTTGCCTGCTGTCTTTTTAATGTATTAACCATGTTTTACTTTGCCAATATATTAATAATGTTACAAAAATGTGGAGAAGTATGTATTTTGAGGGATAGTTGCATTTTATTTTAGATATCGTTTGAAGCTATACAGTAAAATAGATTTCCAAAGAATGTATTATTTTCTTTCCCCTTTGCTAGTTGGAAAACTTAGCAAGCAAGTTCTGGGATCAAGTAAAGCAGTGATGGGGAGTTAAAGGTTAATTACACCTCTGCTTTCTTTACATAGTATTTCCCTTTCCTTCTGGGGATGTAGGTTTAAAGACACCCAATCTGTGTTTGTATCAAAGATTACAAATCCAGGAGGGAAGAGATTGGAAGTTATGGGTATTGACTTCCTATCATAGCAAAACTGGACAATGGATTGTTCTTTAAAAGCCGGGGTCAATATTAGCTCCCTGTGTGAATAAACCCCAGTTTTTCACTGTGATGAGAGTCAATAACTGCTTATAAAGGCAATCTAAATTTGGTGTAGCAAAAGATGTGACTATTCTCTATGCCTGTAATAACAGAAGCTAGGCAGATGGATTAGATTAGGAGGTGACTAGGGGAAAAACAGAAGGGACACGGTGGTTCAGTGGCTAAGACGCTGAGCTTGTGTATCGAAAGGTCGGCAGTTCAGCAGTTCAGATCCCTAGTGCCTTCACAGGGTGAGCTCCCATTCCTTGTCCCAGCTTCTGCCAACCTAGCAGTTCGAAAGCACATTAAAAATGCAAGTAGAAAAATAGGGACCACCTTTGGTGGGAAGGTAACAGCGTTCCGTGCATTTTTGGTGTTGAGTCATGCCGGCCACATGACCACGGAGATGTCTTTGGACAGCGCTGGCTCTTCAGCTTTGAAACAGAGATGAGCACCGCCCCCTAGAGTCAGGAACGACTAACACATATGTGCGAGAGGAACCTTTACCTTTACCTTAAGGGGAAAAACACAATAGTTAAGCTGAGAAGGTAAGTCATGTTCTCTTTTTTATGCCATTGAGATTTTTACAGAATGAAATAACAGTGTACAAGAATGTTTTCGCATAATTGCTTGCCTAAGCAATGCTTCAAATTGGTATGTTGTATGCTATGAATGTAAAGAAACGCAAGAGGTATTTAATTGCTTTGCAAACTACAGGTTTTTATCCTTACAAGATGGAGAACAAGGAATGTTTAGAAGCAAAAAAAAAGCCTGTTATTGCTCAGTATGTTATCCCAGAACTGGTCTTTAAAACGTAGATGGGGTACTCTAGTTTTAATCTGGGTTAAGAAGGACTTCATTTTCCTAGGGATTCTGTGAATGGTAAATGAGAATGAGAGTGGGATGCTTGAGTGAATAAAATTAATATGGATCTGTAGTTGAAGTAAACCCACTGTTATCAGGGTAAAACTGTTTTTTTTTAATCTATGCATAAAGCAGAGCAATATACCCCCAAACTGTATTTAGAAACTACCTAAATTGACTTACCAAGTAGAGCCTCATTTGTAACCCAAATTGTATTGTGCAATGAGCAGGTATGGGAACATATGATGTCATTGTTAGAACCTATAATTATGCACTCATATTACTTCTTCAGTTAGGTGTATACTCAAGCTTTGCTTACAAAACTCAAGGGAGTGTGCAATGTATTCCACTTCTCTAATCATTTCTCTAAATATCCATGAGCCACGGTGGCGCAGTGGTTAGAGTGCAGTACTGCAGGCTACTTCTGCTGACTGCCGGCTGCCTGCAATTTGGCAGTTCAAGTCTCACCAGGCTCAAGGTTGACTCAGCCTTCCCTCCTTCCGAGGTGGGTAAAATGAGGAGCCAGATTGTTGGGGGCAATAGACTGACTCTGTAAACCACTTAGAGAGGGCTGTAAAGCACTGTAAAACAGTATGTAAGTCTAAGTGCTATTGCAGTGATGTAGAAAATAAAAGGAAAGGAGTCACTGTGGATTTTACTCTGCTATCGTTGCCGATTTTAGGGAGTAGGGCTCATTTCCATTTCAAGGCCATTCAGCCAGCGCTGTCTGAAGACAATTCTGCAGCCGTGTGGCCAGCATGATGTTGCGGAGTGCTGTTTCCTCCCCACTGAAGTGCTACCAATTTATCTACTCACATTTGCCTGCTTTTGAATTGCTAGATGGGCAGGAGCTAGGTGAAGATGGGAGCTTGCCCCATTGTACGATGCTTGGGTCTCAAACCCAACAAGCCAACAAGCCCAGTATCTTAATCACTGAGCAGTCACACTGCCCTTGATGTAGGCTAGACTGAAAATCAAAACCACCTATGTCTTCTACATCTGAATGTTGATTAAAGTGGGTTCTCCTGATCTTAATGTATACCCTAACCCCCCTACCTATTGATGGCTTCTGCTCCTATCCAGACAACTGCACTCAATGGCTTCATTCTTCATATGAGAGGAGGATATGGAAGCAAGATAATACTCTATAAAAACTGATAAATATAGGCCAAGGAAGTGAAGTGCAGTCCCTAACTCTTATTACACATCAACTATTTTACATAAATCTTAAATCTCTTTTTAAATCTCTTTCATTGTCCAGTTTTGCTAAGATGGAATAGAATAGAGCTGGAAGGGACCTTGGAGGTCTTCTAGTCCAGCCCCCTGCTCAAGCAGGAGAACTTATACCATTTCAGATAAGTCTCTTCTTAAAAACCTCCAGTGATGGAGCACCCACAATTTCTGAAGGCGAACTATTTGGATCAAGGTAGGTTTAACAGACTTAGCAAGATAACAGAGTTGGAAGGGGCCTTCAAGGTCTTCTAGTCCAACTTCCTGGCCAGGCAGGAGTTCTTATACCACTCCAGACAAATGGTTGTCCAGTCCCTTCTTAGAAACCTCCATTGATGGAGCACTCACAACTTCTGGAGGCAAGTTTTTCAACTGATTAGAATAACATAATAAGATATGTTATAAGTTAGGAAGTCAATGCCCATAACTTCCAATCATTATACTTTGCCAATACCCTCCATATTGATTCTCTTTGATTCAAAATGTATTTGCCTACAGCTGATGCTCAGATATCTCAAAACATTAACCTAATCTTGCGTAGCTTCTTCTCTGGTAATATTACACTACTAACCGGAGCATACAAAACATTTGCTAGACCAATTCTCAAATACAGTTCATCTGTCTGGAACCTGCACTGCATATCGGACATTAATACAATTGAGCGCGTCCAGAAATATTTCACCAGAAGAGTCTTCCACTCCTCTGCTCGCAACAAAACAACTTATGCCACCAGACTTGAAATTCTGGGTTTAGAAAATTTAGAACTACGCCACCTTCGGTATGATCTAAGCATAGCTCATAAAATCATCTGCTACAATGTTCTACCTGTCAAGGACTACTTCAGCTTCAACCACAACAATACACGAGCACACAATAGATACAAACATAAAGTGAACCGCTCCAAACTCGATTGCAGAAAATAGGACTTCAGCAACAGAGTTGTTAATGCCTGGAATGCACTACCTGACTCTGTGGTCTCATCCCAAAACCCCCAAAACTTTAACCTAAGACTGTCTACTGTTGACTTCACCCCATTCCTAAGAGGTCTGTAAGGGGCATGCATAAGAGCACCAGCGTGCCTACCGTCCCTGTCCTAATGTTCCTTTTAATTGTATTCCTTTTATGTATTCAATTCATGCTTATATTTATATATATTATCTAATATGTACTCAACAAATTAAATTAAATTAAATTAAATTAAATTAAATTCTTTTGACTCTGGGACATTTTCTTAGCAACTACTCAACCCAGTCCCCTGAGAGTTCAATGTTGGGTTGATCCCTTCTTCTTTTTCCATCCCCAGGTGTTTTGCGATTACCATGGACATTCTCAGAGAAAGAATGTCTTTCTATATGGATGCAGCATAAAGGAGACTCTCTGGCAGGCAGGATGTACCGTAGACACGTCCAAGGTGACCGAGGATGTTGGCTATCGGGTAAGGCATGCTTCTCATAGCCTCTTCATCTGCATAGATATTCCCGAATTAAATTGTCTTGATCATCTCTGGCTTAATCTTTCAACCTTTAACATCGAATCGAAGAAAAATCAGATGACGAGCAGCAACAGCCTGCAGAATGGTGGGAAAAAGATTTAAAGGAACCCAGGTTTGTTAGAATGCGGAAATATAATATGGGCATGGGAGGCCAAGAGGTACTAATTGCTTTGAAGAGGCTGTTAGACCTCCCCCTCCCCAAAATGGATGGAGCCAAGTGGGTGAAAAGGGTAGATTTGTGGAAAAAACTGTATTGATTTTATTTTACATAAACTTGTGGAAATATGGTCAAATAAATCTGTCTGTCAGAGGAGACTACATTGGTTAATGCACCAGGTTTAGAAGTCAGGAGATTGTAAGTTCTAGACCTGCCTTAGGCAGACAAAGTCAGATGGATGACCTTGGACCAGTCACTGTATCTTAGCCCTAGGAAGGAAGCAATGGCAAACCACTTCTGAAAAACATTGCCAAGAAAACTGCAGGGACTTGTCCAGGTAGTCTCTGAGCATTAGGCAAGATTGAACGAAAGAAAAAAGAATCTGTGTCAGATATTTAGTCTTACTATTTTTCTATTTTCTAGTTATGCTCATGCTTTTTTTATTCTTTGCATTTGTTGTCTTCTCTCTCTCTCTCTCTCTCTCCCCACCACCCATAAAAGTTACTCCCTTACTAAAATCCCTTCTTACATTAAAATCTAACCAAGTACTACTTTGGGAAATTGGAAAATGCAATTTCTTTTCTTTTTAGGTCTGATGACTTTTTAAAAGTAGTTTTACTCATTTATTTAGCGTATGGCATCTATTGAGGTCATGCGATTACTGATATACAAATTTAGTTTTAAAAGCTAATACATTGATGAGAGGTGTGATAGCCTAGAGTTGGAACTTTCACCTCACAATCAGGAGGCTATGAGTTTGATTCTAGGTAGCAGCAGATATTTTTCTCTCTGGGCATAATGAGTAATTGTTGGCTGCGAATTCCATGTAGGCATCAGGAAGGGCATCTGGCCAGAAAACGCTTGAGCTCTGTTCAGTCACCCAGGTCATTAAAAGAAAAAAAGAATAGATAGATAGATAGATAGATAGATAGATAGATAGATAGATAGATAGACAGACAGACAGACAGACAGACAGACAGACAGACAGACAGACAGACAGACAGACGGACGGATATGTGGACAATGCAATATAGGAGATAAAATATTAAATTAAGATAAAACCATAATAAAATCACCATAATATAGAGCGATAGAATTGCAAATGGAATAGATGTTATAATTCGATATCTGAGGAAGCCAACCATCTCACTGCTTCTGGTATGGCTGCAGTAAGGTCATCCCAGATGCCCTGAAATTTCCGGAAGAAACATTTAAAGAAGTGAAAGAAATGTTTTAGCCTAAAAAGGCAAACAGCAATAAATGAGGTGAATGTGAACCAAATAATAGTGACTGGCCTCAGTCATCAGAAAATGGGTGTTGATTTGGAAAAGGCACGAAAAGGAAAATCACATTTGGTGGAATAGGGAAAGGCTGCTTGAGCTGAGTTTGCCTATTGCATCCCTTATAATGGATTAGCATGAAGGATCTTGAATAAGTGCACTTCTCTTGAGAACTGGAGATAGTCTGCAACATTTTTCCCAAATGCCATCACTCTGCTAAACAAATAATTCCCTCAACACTGTCAAACTATTTACTAAGTCTGCACTACTATTAATATTCTCATCGTTCCCACCACCTATCTCCTTTGACTTATGACTGTATGACTGTAATTTTGTTGCTTGTATCCTTACGATTTATATTGATATTGTTTCCTGATTGCTTATTTGTACCCTATGACTATCATTAAGTGTTGTACCTTATGATTCTTGATGAACATATCTTTTCTTTTATGTATACTGAGAGCATATGCACCAAACACAAATTCCTTGTGTGTCCAATCACACTTGGCCAATAAAAATTCTATTCTATTCTATTCTATTCTATTCTATTCTATTCTATTCCATTCCATTCCATTCCATTCCATTCCATTCCATTCCATTCCATTCTATTGCAACTCCCACTTGCTCAGCTCAGTCTGATAAGCCACATGCCCTGAAAAGCAGAAATGGGCAAATATTAAGCTGGGGAGACTCACGTTGAAAGTGCTATTCAGCCATTGGATGATTTTTGGAAAGTTTTTTTTTTATTGTTGTTGTTGTATGACCTGTTTTGTCAGGAAAACTGGAGACTGACTGTTACCTCAGTCCCTTGGAACAACTCAGAAAAAAGAGGCAAGGGCATTGCAAATCCATAAATAGGTTAGCACACTGATGCATTAAAGCTATTTTTCAGGTAACAGTTCTCAGAATTCAAGGGATTTCCTTGTCAATTGGACCAGGAAAATATGGATTGCATATTTCTCTGTGTAGGTGATGTGATAAAGAAGACAAGTAGAGTCTCACTGGCTAAGATTATGTGTCTAGCTCAGCACTGGCATATGACCTGTTTAGAAGGTATTTTCTGTCACAGCGCACAGCTATCACATTCCTGTTCAGCAAAGTTTTAAATCCCCGTTCCCCCCCACCATTTTATTGTTTTTGCAAAAACAAGCAAAACAAACCATCTAAAAGGTAGTAATACTGTAAAATTGAAAAGTAACTCAAGGCAAGACCAGCAGTAAATAATAATAATTAAAAAGCAGAAAAAGAAAGAGAAAAGAAAGAAAGAAAGAAAGAAAGAAAGAAAGAAAGAAAGAAAGAAAGAGAGATTGATTGATTGATTGAGAGAGTGAGTGAGTGATTGATTGATTGATTGAATTCTCTCTTTGGACACAATGAGTAATTGTCTGCTGCAAACTCCATGTAGGCATCAGGAAGGGCATCGGGCCAGCAAATGCACAAGCTTCCTTCAGTTGCCCGGATTCCACCCCGATGCAAGGAAATACAGGGTTGTTAAAAGAAAAAAAGAAAAGAGAGAGAGGGAGAGACACACACAGAGAGAGATGTGGACAATACAATATAGGAGATGAAATCTTAAATTAAGATAAATCCATACATAATAAAATCATGATAATATGGAGCTATAGAATTGCAAAAAAAAAAAAGCAGAAAGGATGAATCTAATATTAATTGGAGATATATGTGCTTGAATGATAAAAACTTTTCAAAACATTGGTATTTAATGCTTCTGTCCAAACTTTTGTTAGGAAGAAACATTTTTTAATTAATTCATTGAAAAAAAACAATAAAACAACTCATAAAAAAGATACCCAGTACCCATAATGCAAATTTTTAAAAATATTCTCAGACTTATTCTACACTTGTCAAGAATTTTCTCTTTATTATCTTTTTAACTAATAATGTCATTTATCAGAGAATCCTTTTGTTCTGCATATCCTTACAGCACAATGCATCTTATTTTATGAGTTAATCTTCCATAGATATTACGTACCTTATTTAAGTATTTATTTAAGTATAATTAGTATGGTTTTCTGCTGAATCTCTTTAAGCAGCTATTGAAGGTGGTGGCCATTTACTATATTTTGGCACAGAGAGTTCTGCGTATTTGTTATGCAGAGCATGAATGTTAACCTTTTATCTACTGCCTTTTGCAAGGAATTGATCAATTCTTTCCACTGGATGGCTCCAGACTCTAGTAATATGTATAGGAGAGAATACGTCATCCACTCTCATTGTTTCTTATTTCTTGTTGTGGTCTAATCCAATGGTAGGGTCCTAAAAGGGCAGCATTGACTAAACCTGTTCATGGTTCCGGTTGGAAAATGCATTTCTGTTGAATTTGGTAGAATTGGAGAATGCTGGCAATGTCATTCAAAGAATTAATGCTTCCTTCAGGAATTTTTGAATCAACAGCTGATGACCCCGGAGCAAATTGCTCTTATCAATAGTCTTGCTATGTAACCTATTTTCTTACACAGGGATGGGGAAGGATACGATCCTTCTGATACTATTGGAATATGCACACTGAAGCTACAAGAAGCATCATATAGGATGCCACAATTGTGATTCCGCAATCTCTGGAAGATTCGTATTCTTGAGTCCATGAACTGTGTTTCACACCATCGTATAAATGACATCCCTTTGTCCACAATAATGGGCAATGTAGGATTCTCTAAAAGGGGATAGATGGCAAACAATATTCTCCATGATTAGTTGGCATTCAAGCAAGATCTGTATCAGTGGTGGGTTGCTACCGGTTCTACCCAGATCGGCGAACCGGTAGCGGCAGTGATGGGAGGCTCCGCCCACCCACGTCGGACGCTTCTGCACATGCGCAGAAGCATTGCATGCGAGCGCATGCACGAGCAAACTGGTAGCGATGGGTTTTGCAACCCCCTGCTGATCTGTATCTTTGGTACCGGAAACACTGCCTCAAAGCAGAACAGGGTTTTTGTTACCCCTTCAAAGTAGTCAAGATGAGAAGCCCAAGAATGAATTCTAACTTCATCTTTAATCTAAGGCTAGATTAACAGAATCTGAAAGGATTTCTTCATTTATTTCCTTTTAGTCTCTGAAAAACTAGGGAGGCTCCATTCTGACATGTTTCTCACCCAAATCCCCCTTGACTTTGGTGGACAGCGATACTTCAACATGATAGTCATCTTCCTCCCGCCTCCCAAGGTCTTTCCCACTTATAATAGTTTCTGAAAGATTTATAGTTCTTAATTCTTTGGGTAAAGTCCTCTTTACCATTAGGTACAGGAAGTTCTGACTTATGATCACCAACATATCTGTTGCTAAGTGAAACATTTGTTCGGTGAGTTTTGCCCCATTTTATGCCTTTTCTTGCCACAGTTATTAAGTAAATCACTGCAGTTCGGGGTGAAATCCAGCAGGTTCTGACAGGTTCTGGAGAACCGGTAGCGGAAATTTTGAGTAGTTCGGAGAACCGGCAAATACCACCTCTGGCTGGCACCAGAATGGGGTGGGAATGGGGATTTTGCAAT